AAGAATATGCAACTTCCTGTTGCTACTTGGATTATATGTCAATCAAGAATGAGATAATCCCTTTGTGAAATCAACTACTATGTCATATATCCGATTCATAATTTGATTTCATTTGCCTTCGGGGGAAAAAAAAAATGAAAATAATAGAAGTTTGTGTTGTGATAAAAATGTTTTGACAACCCAGTTTATGAGCTAAAATGTTCTTTCAATTGCATTTGTTTTTTCAGAAAAAGTATGGATAAGAAATACTTTTGAGCATGAAAAGGATCAGAAGTTGCTCCAATTTAAGTGGTTCAATTTCTCTCTCTGTCTACCGTCTGGCTTACATTTTCCTTGCTCTGTTTTTCTATTTTTCTGTTTTTGGGTTTGGATTTTGAGTTATTTGAATGATATATATATTGGGTTCAAAAGAAATTCTAGATGATATTATTAACTATAGTAATTCATATATGGAAAAGAAATTCTGTGTGCAGATTTGAATGATAACTATAGTTGTATGGAAAAGAAATTCTGGGTTCAAAAGAAATTCTGCTGGGTTCTTAACTATAGTTTTGAAAACATGATATTATTCAGTATTGAAAACATGATATTTGAAAACATGACTTTAATAGAGTTGAAAACATAACTGTAAGATAATTTTAAAACATGATATTGAACCCAACAATATCGAGTGGTATTACACGGGTGGTTTAAGAACCTCTGTATGATATATGTTGTATGATATATGATATACCTCTCTAAATTTATGTATGATATATGCTGTATGATCTGCTGGGTTCAAAAGTTATTGAATTCAAATTCTGCACTCTTAACTGCTGGGTTGAATTCAAATTCTGCACAATTATTGAATCTATATAATAAAGCAAAACGGTTTTTGAAAATTATGTCAAAATGTATCAGAGATACATTTCATTTGAATGGCTCAGATCAATTCTAATAAACATCCATGGCTGAGATGATTTTCATTCCTGCCCAAGCAATCTGTGCTCTCTCCCTCTCCCACCTACCCACGTCTCCTCACCCATTCCGTCTTTATCTCTCTCCCTCTGTTACATGTCTCCTCATTCCCTCTTTATTTCTCTCCCTCTCTCTGTTATTCTTCCAGAACCACCAAAATACACCTGCCTCCCCAACTTTCCTTTGTATCTGAAACTTTTTCTCTGTTTCACTTTTTTCAGGTTGATGATGATCTACAAATGATGATCCAAGTTGGGCTTTGTTCCAATCAATCAGTGTATCTTCTTCAGCTATTAACGAGGCAAATAACTACAACAAATCTTCGAGGGCTCTTTGATTTTCAAACCCACAATGCAACAAAGAAAGAGAGAGAGAGAGAGAAAAAAAAAGAGAGACCTGATCAAGAGAAGCACGAGAGAAACCAGGGAGATGAGGGATGTCGCGAGATGAAGGAACAATTGAATTGTCAGTGAAATCGATAGCCCATCTTCGATTCATTGCCACTCCTTTCCCTTTATCCATTCAAAAACAACACCTTTTTTTTATATTTTTTTATATGTATCTGAAACTGGTAGTTTATGAATCTTTTTCTTTTTGTTTCACTTTTTCAGGTTGATGATGATCCAAGTTAGGTTATCTTTTTCAGCTATTAAGAGGCAAACAGCTTCGACAAATCTTCGAGGGCTCTGATTCTCTCTCTCTCTCTCTCTCTTGGCAGCACTACAACGATGTATTTAGTATTTTTCTCAATAAAATATCTATTTCAAACCTCCCTTTGCTTTTTGTAGCCCATGGTTTTCCAAAACCATTTTTGGGAGTGATTGGAGGTTTTTTTGAATTATTTTGAGTTGGTTTCCATGTGGGCTTATGAAGATGAAGCAACGCCTATTGATGCAAACTTGATGGACTTAGACCGTGTTTGGTGGGTTATTATTTGAAAGGTGGTGTCTTGGGCCCACGTTTAATTTAGTAAATGGGCATTAGGTCGTGGGTTGTTGTATGGTGTTCAACCACAGTTCTACTGAATTGTTTACTGAGTTGTTCAACCACTTTTTGTATAATTGTCCATATATTTATGATAGAGGGTACTTGGGAATAAAAATAATATATGGACAATCTTGATTTTTATTTATGTCTTTTTTTTGGGGGTACCCTACTGATGCGGGGGTGTTTTAATTAGTTATTTTATTAGTTCCTCTTTTTTGGGTATGAGATTTGTTATATTATTTGGGATATGTTCTTTGTAAACGTGTAATTTTTTGTTTTTAATTTATGACTTATCCACCCAAAAAAAATCTCTCCGATCAGCTTTTGACTTATCCACCCCAAAAAAATTTCTCCGTTCAGCTTTGAATGGATTTCATTTTGAAATGTGTTTTGATTTCTGAAAGATTTCATTGTGTTTGGATTTGTGTTTCTAAGGTTTGGGTTTCTAATTTTTAATGCGGTGTAATGAATTTTCATTTAATTTGAAAAATAGATCTAACTTTTGTAATTTTTAATTATATCGTGCCTTCAGGCACGGGCATACGCTAGTCTATATAATAAGGGAAGAAACTAAGTGCAAGGGGATATATGAAAACTAAGTGCATGCTATATAAAAATTTGGAGTAGTCATTTTGTTTCACATTACCAAGCAAAGTTCCTGTTTCACATTACCGAGCAGCCGAGTTAATCATTTCCACCTCTGTTTCAAGTTCCTGTTTCACGTAGAGCCAGAGTGAACAACGGAGAGAGTGAGAGTGGTTAGAGTGATCCACAGAAGCTTTGATGAAGGCAAAAGCTGAGAGAGGAAAAAAAAAATTCAAAAAGAAGAACAAAAATGAGAGAATACTCTATTGAACCCATATATCTATTCAATAACTTTTGAAATTGAATTCAATAACTGTGCAGAATTTGAATTCAACCCAGCAGTTAAGAGTGCAGAATTTAATTCAATAACTTTTGAACCCAACAGTTAAGAACCCAACAGATCATACAGCATATATCATACTTAAATTTAGAGAGGTACAACATATATCATATATCATACATCATGTATCATATAGCATATATCATACAGAGGTTCTTAAGCCACCCGTGTAATACCACTCGATATTGTTGGGTTCAATATCATGTTTTAAAACTATCTTACAGTTATGTTTTCAACTCTATTAAAGTCATGTTTTCAATACTGAATAATATCATGTTTTCAAAACTATAATTAAGAACCCAGCAGAATTTCTTTTGAACCTAGAATTTCTTTTCCATACAACTATAGTTATCATTCAAATCTGCACACAGAATTTCTTTTCCATATATGAATTATTATAGTTAATAATATCATCCAGAATTTCTTTTGAACCCAGAATTTCTTTTGAACCCAATATATATATCATTCAAATAACTCAAAATCCAAACCCAAAAATAGAAAAACAGAGCAAGGAAAATGTGAGCCAGACGGTAGACAGAGAGGGAAATGGAACCACTTAAATTGGAGCAACTTCTGATCCTTTTGATGCTCAAAAGTATTTCTTATCCATACTTTTTCTGAAAAAACAAATGCAATTGAAAGAACATTTTAGCTCACAGAATGGGTTGTCAAAACATTTTTATCACAACATAAACTTCTATTATTTTCATTTTTTCCCCCCCGAAGGCAAATGAAATCAAATTATGAATCGGATATATGACATAGTAGTTGATTTCACAAAGGGATTATCTCATTCCTGATCGACATATAATCCAAGTAGCAACAGGAAGTTGCATATTCTTTTCCAACCTTCTCAAATCAATTTCGCATGTTATCATCAAATGCTATAACAATATATACAATACACACCTCACTATTTGCTTCTCTCAACTCTACAGCAGTATTTGTTTGTCCTTCATTCACATTATATTTTCTATATAGATGTTTATAAAAAGATATAACAATCTGTCCAACCTTCTCAACTCTGCTTCTCTCAACATCTATATAACAATCATCAAATGTATTTATCTTCACTCTGCAACAGCCAAGCCAAGCTTCACATCTTATCAGAGAGTAGGAATGGAAAGGTAGATAGAGGTATGGGAAGACAGAGGGTATGTGGGAGACACAGAAATGTGTTGGGCGGGAAATGTGAGCCATCCAAAGCAAATCTAAACCATTGATATAAACTTGGGATTAATCTCAACCATTGGATCAAAATGTATCTCACATACATTTTTGACATAAATTCAAAGACCTAATGTGGTAGGAGGTTGAATCTTATGTAGTTGATTTTTAATCTAATCAATAATTGACATGAAACAATCCACATCATTGTAGATAAATTCAAGGGTCAAGTTTTTTCTTTTCATATAAATAAAAAAAAAATTATCACTTGTAAGAGATAAAAGAAGAAAAATCTAAAATTTAGGAAACGAACAGTTTAGATTGTTAATAAAAATGTAAAAGACTTTACTAGAACTTCCTTAATTAAAAAAAAAATATATTTAAAAAAAGAAGAAGAAAGAAAATGTGAGTCAAAAGGAGCATCCTACTTTTTCTTAATATTTTTATTACACTGAACATTTTTCTAAATACACGATATTTTCATTGTTTAGTAATATTATTGTGTCCGTTTGTATATGTTTTGATATTATAACTCTTATATACTTTTAAAAAAAATAAAAAATAATACTGATGTTAAAATAACAAATCCATGTTTGTATAGCATTACATTTCTTTTTTAGTTATATGCTAGAACGATTCAAATCAAACTTCAATTGTAAGGTGACCAAAATGAACAATCTCCAAACCGAATATATCTTCTCTTTCTTTCTTCCTACAGTAGCCCAATGGGCTGTTCATCCCCATATAGTTCTGCTCTGAAAGTTTCAAAGAGATAGTAGATACTGAATGGTTCTTGATCTCGTAAAACTGCCATTTCTGTTACATCGCAGGACTGTGAATGAAGCATCGAGAGCTGTTACTAAAGATTTGTACACATAAATTCACTAATGGCATACATGCTTGTCATAAAACAAGCAGCCCCTGTTCAGAATTTACAAATAAAGCTTGTCACTACAAAAATTCATTTACTACAGAGAACTGGAACTGTGAATTCAACTCAGCATTCCCCTGTTCAGAATTTACAAATAAAGTTTGTACTGTACATGATCAATTTAATTGTTAATATTAATAAAGAAGTACAGGCAAGCAATGACAAAAAATCACATGGATATTGAAGGTAATCATCTCAATCTAAAATGTCAGAGAGGAGAAGCATGAAGAATCAGTACTCAGCTTCTACACTAGAGTGACCAAACACTTTCTCTTGCTATTCTAAGGTATTTTTATATGCTGCATTTTTTCAATCATCCGGTGGACTTCAACCAAGTTGGCCCTTTTTCTGACACTATCTTTCTCTTCAGCATGGTGCTCAACTTGTCTGGCTGATGTATTCCGCTAATGCCTTGATGGTTGGGTAGGCATCTAGAATAAAAATGGACAATGATACCAATAAATATAGAGTATTATTACCTCCAAGAAGGATTGTGAGTGGGAAGACAACCATTCCGCTTCTCATGTTCCCCTAGTCGCATTGTTTTCAAGTTGAATACTGGAAGAATCTGAACAGATGGCAGCAATGGAATCAAGAACCCTAGCCGCAGCTAAAATGATCACCAGAGCAGGTGTATGAATATATATATATATACGTAAGCGAATGATCAGATGAATGAAAGTAGTCCCAACATCTTCAGTTGATTATTGATGGTTTAATTTGTATGCAAACATGTAAGTGGCAAAATTTCTAATTCAAGAATGTAGGTAAAAATTGATTGTGAAACTTTGCATGTTAGCATCAGATTTGATGAATTTAAACTTTACAGTCGAAAGGCAGAGGCACAAATTCATGATCCATTGATGATAATCATAAAAAAGTTGACACACACACACACCCACACAAAAGAAAAATGACCCTATTTTCTCCTTTTTAGGTAGCCAAGAGAATGTAGAGAAAGGACATATAATTTACAGCCCGTCACTCAGAGCCATAAGGAACAAGCATAGCACCATTTAAGCTTCACTCATCTTTGCCCAGTTTATGAATTATCAAGATCAGGACATAGTAAAAAACAAAGGTGCATAAATCCTCGAAATGCATAAATACAAAACTAATATAGATATGACATTATAATTTACAAAATCCGGAACAACTGACCTAGTTCATCTTTGAAGTTGCAGCAACTGTGACCTAATTTGCTTATCCAGCACAAAACCTGCCAACTCTGCCTCCTTGCAAACCTCTTTACATTTTGCCACCCTTCCAGAAACCATGTATATGGTGAACAAGTCCCGGTAAATGTCATAAGTAGGAGAGAAACCTGCTTCCTTAAGTTTTGAGAAATATCTTTTAGTCCTAGAAAGATCATTCAAAGCAACAAAAAGCTTTATTACCACACGATAAGCGGGAAGATCAAAGAGACAATTTGAACTTTCCATTTCCCAGACCACGGCCAATGCCTCCCTATATTTCTTTTCAGAGCAACGGCTGTGAATCAGAGTAGTGTACATAACTACACTTGGATCATGCCCCGATTGTTTGAACCAACTGAAAAGACTCTCCACAGTTTCAAATTTCCCAAGCCTTACACAAACTTTCATGACAGCGCTACAGTCCTGCTGATTTAAGTTCAGGTCATCTCTTTCTCCAAGCTCTTCTAATAGGGTCAATACCTGCAAATGCTTATCTGGGTTCTTTCCTAATTCCAGTATTAGCTTAGCATAGATGCTGGAATCTAACATTCTTTTACCATCCTTCACAACAAACAGAAGTTTCCAGGCAAGTTCCAAGCTTCCCCCTTTAATGAACCCTCTCACCATAGCCTCAATCACACTCTGGCTAGCCAAGCTAGTGAATTTCTTTAAGTTGAATGGCATTTTTAACTCATGAGTCCTTGCCAACACCTCAACAGTCGAAGCCAAAATTCGGTCATCTGGGAAGAGGTGGGGTTGTTTCTGAGCCCAACAGAAAGTCTGCAGAGCTCGCTTTGGAAGACCCATGTGACCCAACTCACGGATTGTTAACGACAGAGATCCCTTCCGAAGCAATCCAGACCGCTTGTTGAGAACTACAGACACAGATTCCTCCGAAGGAAGGCTTTTAATCTCTTTGGCTAACTCAGTTAAGAAACTTGGGTTCTTGTATACTTGCTTAGACAAAGACTGTCGTGAAGAAACTGAAGTAGAAGAAGCCATTCTCGGGTGTTTCTTAGGTGAAGGGAATCCTAAAGGCCGAATTTTGTGGGGAAGTGGGAGTGGCAAAGGCCTTTCCCTACCCAGTTTTCCGGGTTTCTGAGGAATTCTCCCCCTGAAAAGAGATGAGATTGCTTCAATTTCATCTGGTTCCCAAGCAATGTTGTCTCCACCTTTTTTTTCTTCTTCATCATCATCAGTTTCAATGTCATCATCATAATTATCAAGCATATGATTTTCATCAGCTGAATCAGGTGTCTCATTTCTGAGATCCGGCTTCTTCCAAAATCTGTCAGTACCAAATTCTGGAGGAATCTTGGTGCGCCGCGGATAACGAAGGTTCTTTGGTGGTTTTCTACGGTAAGTTCTAGCCTCAAATTGCGCCATTAAGACTACTCTAATCGAGTTTGAAGTATCAATTCCAAGCACACTCATGCGGGATCGTTTGAGTCCATGAAGAACCCGAGTCTCAAAGAAAGGACATGGACTGCGAGGCAATAATATGCTACCCATGTCCTTTTTTTTTTTTTTTTTTACAGGAAAACCCTCCCTACCCTCTCGCAGGTATAAAGCAGCGCCCCTTGTGGAGATCACCAGTATGTCCGATTAGGCAGCCGTTCTGAGCGAGAAGAATATAACCTGGAACTTACCCATGTCCCTCTTTGGTCGTTTTAAGGGAATTAAATTGCTGTGAATCAGAGGCCAAGCACGCATCTGTCAGAACCAGAAGGAAATGAATGTCTCACGGGACTTTCATCAAACACTTGGCGTGCCATCGAAGCAAGATTAAGAAAGTAGTGTGTATGTACGTTTTAGTCGGGAGGGAGGGAGGAAGAGAGAGAGCGAGCGAGCGAGGTGGTTTCAGTAAATTACTAGATGGACGTGCGCCCTAACCCTCTCTTTTTTTTCTTTTTCTCTTTTTTAATCTAATTATTTAAATAAATATCAGAAAAATGAGAACATAAACATAATTATAAATCAAAGAGTGCAAATGAAAATTACACAAAAATATACGCCTGTGTTTGGTTGTATTTTGTAAATGTGATTTGAGAGTATGAGTTTTATTTTGAGTTTGTGTGTTGTAGAATTATGATTTGAGTGTAGAAAATTTGTTTGGTAAAGAGTTTTGAAAATAATTTTGGAAAAGAGGTTTGATTTGAGTGGGGAATTGTTGATATGACATTTGATATGTGATATAAAAATTTACAACTCATAACTAAACATACAACTCAAAATTATTTTAAAGCACATAAATTTTTTTAAAAAATTCAGAAAATATTTTTCCCGAGTATGTAAATCAATTGCCAAAAAAAAAAATCTGGAATTCAGAGGACATCCGGGTGGACGTCCCCAAGGACATCCGGGTGGTCTTTTGGGTGGACTTCCTCAGGCAAACTTTTGACAAAAATGCGGCCTGTGCATCAGAGTTCTCTGCAGAGAGTGTGGAAAATTGATTTCAAAACCACAACCAAACATCATACTCAAACACACGTGTAGAAAATTGATTACAAATCACAACCAAACAGAGCTGTAATTTTCACTTGCACCCATTTATATTTTATTGATTTACAATTTTTTTAATCTTTTTTATTTTGTAATGTTTCTCTAAATATGAATCGCGGTGTTTGGTTTCAATTTTCTAGATTTAAACTTCTGATTATTGAGTTTTTTATTTTTCGTATTTTTTCGTTTTTAGTGAATATTTTTAAAATTTTAAGTAATTTTTTTTTTACTTTTTTATATGCATTTTACTTAGAATTATTTAAAAAGTAAAACATTTATAAAAAAAAATTAATAAATTAATAAATATACAAGAATACAAAAATGTATCGAATTTTCATTTATTTATTTATTTTGTATTTTTGATATTTATTGAATTTTTTAAAGATTTTTTTCCACAAATATTATACTTTTTTGTATATTTATATTAGGTGTATTTAAAAGGAGATTTTTTTTTTTGTTATTTAAGATCTCGGGTATTAAGATTTTATAATATAAAAGATACTCAATATTTTCATAATGTCTAAAGGCCCTCAACATCGATCCAGAGAAAATTCGGTCTAGAGAATTTCTCTGGATGAATTTTATCTGGACTTTATAGAGAAATTTTAGTTCACAAGGCTTCATTATTATTGAGATTTTTTCTGGACTACAAATTTGCATTATTGAGAATTTCTCTAGACTATAAATCTGTAATTTATTGCAAGGTGCATTCACAAGGCTTCAAAATTTATTTGCTTTGTTCTTACCAACCACTTTAGAGAAATTCAAAATTTCTTTGCTTTGTTCTTACCTGATCCAAAGAAATTTCAAACCACTCCAGAGAAATTTGTTCTTACCTGATCTGGAGAAAATTTAAATCACTCGAGAGAAATTCTTTAATAGCCTTCATAATCATCATCATCATCATCATCATCTTCTTCTTTCTACATCAAATAAGCAGTTGTAGCAGCACCATAAAAGCCATAGAAGCAATAGCACTTTGATAGCATCAACACAAATGCATAACAAAACAAATGATTAACTGGAGGTAGCATGAGGCAATAACAGTATCAACTCCACCCATCAATGGCCCGATTTGACCCTTCTAGAATAAGCTGGACAACGAGCAGATACAACAATTGCAAACTAGCCACCTATGATCTCACTTGAGTTAACAACAGCTCAAAGAAAAGAGAAAAAAACATAGCCACAACTCTAGAGAAATTCTGGGAATCCAAATTTCTCTGGACTGGACTTCTCAAAGAAATTCAACAGACTTGATCATCTTCAAATAATTTCTCCACGAGCATTTCTCTCCCAAGCTCTTCAACACAACGTGCAATTCCTTTGTCGATATCAATCCATTCTCATCCTAACTCTAACTCAGACCCAAAGCCATCAGTGTGTTTGTAGGACAAGGAGAAGGTGAAGAAGGTGTTCAATCACTTCGACGCCAATGGTGATGGCAAGGTCTAGGCAACGAAACTCGTATCAGTCATGAAAGCTCTCTAATCCAACACATCGGAGGGGGAGCTCGACACTGACATCGATGGCTTCATCAGTCTCGAAGAATTCACCAATTTCTACAAGGGCAGCGACGACACCGTTGGAGCCACCGGAGATGATGGCGGTATGGCAGGGCTGAATGATGCCTTCAAGTTGTATAATCAGGACAAGAATGGAGTGATCTTGTCATTGAGGTCGACGAGAAAGAGAGAGAGAGAGAAGAGCATTGGGAGACAGAGAGAGATAGAGAGCGTGAGATATATCAAATTTCTCTGTGATAGATGGGTGTGGGGTTTAGGAATCTTAGACATCAAAAAATAATATTGTGGATCTCTTCCATTACTAAAAATGGGAGAGAGACCTTAGACTAATTTTTCCTATTTAAAAATAAAAAAATAGTTAAAATATTAAAAAAATTCAGTGAAAACAAAAAAATACAAAAAATAAAAAATTTCAATTTTCTAAAAAGTGAATTCTGAATCCTAAAACCAAACAAGCTGAATGTTATTTAAATCTAAATTGAAAATTTAACATGCTTCAAAATGTATAGCTTAACTTGTTTACATAACGAATTGATTTCAAACGAATTTTTAACAATACATTTAAACTTGTCTTAAAAACTTAATGAATTTTTAACAAGTCGAAAACAAATCATACTAATCTTTTCCAAATAAGAATGAAGTATATGACTATCTTTCCCTTCATTACATAACCAAGAGCACTGAAGCACAAAAAACTCAAAACACCATTTCCTAAAGGGAAGCCAAAAAAAAAAAAATAAATAAAAAATAAAAAAATCACTACATAGATTTGTGGATGCTTGTTTCCAACCACACCACCAATACATACACTTCCACACTTGAACGAAAATGTAACCTGCTTCCTTTTTTTTATGGCCATATAATGACACAATTTTTACATTACAGTATATTTTTTTATTTAAACCACTTTTAAAAGAAACAATTCAACTATTAAGTTCTGTACATGACTGAAAAAAGAAGAATGCTGCAACAATATACAAGTCCCACACACATTGATAACAACAAATTTGGTGTAATTACAAGCTTATCTACGTTGGGAGAATATACAAGTCCCACACACATTGATAACAACAAATTTGGTGTAATTACAAGGTTATCTACGTTGGGAGAGTTTTTGCACTTCAGCTTCGACTTTCCTCACATTGTCAACAATAAGTTGAATTTTTGAAGACAATTGTTCAGCTTCCTGCTCAACATTAGCCAGAAACTTAAGTAGTTTTTCTCGATATGCTGCACATAGTTGGTCCTGGCGCTGCAACTCTCGAGTGAGTGCTTCTATTTTCTTATCCTTATCACCCTACAAACATGGATGAAATAAACAATATTGCCAATGGCTAAATAATAACTTATCTGTGCTATATATAAAACCTGAAACAGAAATTAGGAACTTCTACCATAAACTTGAAACATAAATAAACTACCTAATGACTAAAAAACATTTCTCCTCAAAAACATTTCTCCTCAAAATCAAATGTCACAAATAAGAAAGATACTATACATTATAATGACACGGGTAAGGAAAAACTTACCACATTACTAGGCCCTTGCTCAGTCACAACCAAAGGATGGTTATGCTCCTTCACAAATCTTGTCACAACCCACTTTCCAGACTTCTCCAGCTTCACCAAAATCGTTGCCTTGCAACCCTCTCGTGCACAAGGCCGTGGCTTCATATCTGGTCCAATTGTGCCATGATTGGGAGAAAAACCTTGCTTGTTACATCCAAGTCGGCGTGCAAGAGTTCTCCCATCAGCCTCTGAACGACGGCGTTGCATAATACGCACAACAAATCCTATCTGTCTAGCATAATCCATATAAAATTTTCTGGAAGCATCTTCAGAATCGAATTCCATGCCCACATATGGTTCTAAAACTTCACCTCTACCAACACTAATGTTTCCTTCAGCAGCAATGTCAACTGCCCCTTCTCCCTCGTCCAACTCCACTAACAGACAATATCGAGTGCAATATCCATGAAAATGCAATAATATTTTTTCTTTTGCACTAATCAGACAAGTGACAAAATTTTATCAAGTAAAGCCATCATTCTCAAAGTATCACAAAGTTCATATGCAACTTTTTTCAAAATCTAAATTAAAAGGTATAGATTTATTGGCTTACAATTTGAACACATATAATAAGGTTGTCAGGGTTTCAGGCAAGGCTCCCCCTCAACCATGTGTGTGTGCATTTATTTTGGTGGGATGGAGTTCCTTGTTTCAAAGACATGGAGTTTAGTGGAAAATGTCTTGGTTAAAATATCATTTAAAAGGTCAAATTCTATATCATCAAAAATGCAATTAAATGCATTAATTCTTATTACTAAATTCCAGTATAGCAAGGTCAAAGTCTATATCATCAAAGATGCAATTAAATGCATTAACTCTTATCACTAAATTCCAGTATAGCATTTTTTTTTTTCCGTAAAAAAAAGAGAAGCATAGTTCAGTGGGCATTTACCATTCGGTGATATAGCCCATTTGGTGAAAGAAAATAATTCGAGAGTTTGATCTCAGGTTCTTCAATCTTGGACCCTAAGAAACAAAACTCATTTCAGCAAACCTAAATACAATGGCACAAATTCACTGATACCAAACTTGAATTGGGAGATTCTCAGACAAAGTTGTCCAATCCATCTTTTGAAACCCAAACCCCCAAGTGAACTGGAAAAGGGACCAGGTCCAGGGTCACCACCAATCCAACTAGAATCCAATAGTGATGTCATAAATACATTTTAATAATAAACAATTTAATAATATCTGCAATCTTGAATTTTTAGACATTCTATGGCTTCCAATGGCATAATGGTGGCGTTAATTTCTTTTATTCTAATTAAGGTTCCAAGACCAAAGTATACTAATAAAAAAAGGTTCTTAATCCAGAGTCAATAAATCATTGTTCATTTGACATAGGCCACATGAAATACTACTGCAACTGCAGGGCATGTGAACTCGAACACACAGATTATGAAGATAAGTAAAGGCTATACAGGCCACATTGCATACTTCTTCTGTCCTTCAAATGTTTAGATTATTGATGTTACCCATTGTGTTTAGTAATTCACCTGCCTAAATTGCAAAAAAAAACTTCAATGCAACGGTGTAATACCACATCATCGGTATCACCATCCAATCAATTCTTACCATTTAATCTGCCATGTATGTGTGGCAAGGTAGTTATATTTGGAAAGTGGGATTCACACTCCACATGTAAGTTTATTATTAGTTGGTGATACCATGTCATCATCTAGAGTGCAAATGAGTCACTGTACAGTAAGTAGTTAGTGGCCATATGCCATAAACTTCAGCAGGTTCAACAACGAAAGAATATTGTTGCATATTTACCAACTGTTATGTTGTCAAACAAATTCAGAATCTTTAGCAAACAAATTTGCAATAACACTGAAGATCTCGATGATAACATTGCAAAAATGTTTCGGAGAATGAAAATAGCTCTCAAATTTATAAGCAAAATCGAAGTGAATTGGAGGTATTAAAGAACTAATCCCAAATAGGTATCAGAAACCACACAATAAATAAATAAATAAACAAACATGTTTCTAGCCCATGACATGAACAAAGACAATTCCTGAAATTGTGAACACACAGTATAATACATAGAGTGAGGAGTGAAGACAGAGTGAAAATCAGAGAGAGAACTAACTGATTTAAGTCGCCGGAGAAGGAGAAGAAGAAGAAGAAGAAGAAGAAGAAGAAGAACAAGTTATTGAGTGACTTGGCCCATCACCAGGGAAGGAAACTTTCCGCCGGAAATCTTATCGTCGGATTGAGCCGCCGAGAAGAGAGAGAGAGAAACCTGAGGAGTAACAGAGAGAGTACACTCTCGCATCGATTCTGTGTCAAAACGGATTTGGGGGTGGTTGAGCCCTAAAAAATTTCGTTATTTATATTTAGGGCAATGCTACGTCCATCCAATTTGGCCATCGTCTCAATTTGTGCATACGGAAGTCAATTGACATACTGATTGACAAATGTAACAACTATAATTAACAAGGTGACAATCATGATTTGACAAGAAAATGCTGGTTAATTGTGTAGACGATCTCAATCGTCCAACTTACATGATTTGAGAGTTCAAATTCTATATCAATTATTTTTCTTATATTTAACTCATCAAATTGGACGGTTCATGCAGACCTTGAGCGGTTCTTTCGAGTTCCCGATCTAACCACGATTTTAAGCGAATTTGCAAAAGAAAAACCAATCAGTACTACAAATTGTAACCACTACAGGAACTTAAAGACAGAGAAAAAAAAAAAAAATGATTACTTAAGTTATAAGGGAAAAGAATAGAAAAAAAGAAATGAAATTATTGTGATTTCTCTATTTTTTGTTTGGATAAGTAAGAAATAAAAGAAAATAAATAATTGTAATTTCTCTCATTCTTTTTTTGTTAGATTTCATTAAGAAAAAAAAAAAGAAAAGAAATTATTTTATGTTATATCACAAAAATAATATTTTTATATTTTCAATCATTTTATTTCTTTTATTTTTATAGGGACAAAATTGATATTATGAAAATAATGGTTTATTTTCTCTCTCAATCTCTCCACTTTTGAAAAAATTAAAAATAAGCCTTATAAGAGAAATGAGTTTCTCTCAATTTTTTCCTATTTCTCTCTATTTAAGTTATCCAAACAAATAAAAAAAATATATATCTCTCCATCTTTTCTCTCCAAATCACTCAATCCAAACATAGCGTAAATGTATTTGAAAGGTAATTTGGTAAAATACGTATAATTTGTTTGACAAATTATTTTTTAAAATTAATTCCAAAATTTGTCTATGAAAATAGTCCACTCTTATAAAACATTAAGATTTTTAATTAGAAAAAAATATTTTTACACAATTAAAAATAATATCATGTGTAACTATAATAATGGAACAATTGAAATAATCATCCAGTTGATTTGTTTAACCCGTCAAATTTTGATCTAATCCAACTTCAAATAAGTGACTTCGATATAAGGAGCACAAGGTTGTAGGTTAGTAATTTTAAAAAATTGAGTTTTGATTGGATAACAAATATACAATAATGAGAAATTTGGCTATAAACTCCCTTTACTTTCCTGTCATTGTTAAAAGGATTAAGAAAAAAATTATACTTTTTAAGCCCCCTCATAATAATAAAATCTTGCGTAAAGGACAAAATTTATTATTTAAATATTTTATTAGACTATTATATCCTCAACTAAATTTTCCCACCTTCTACACCCACTCTCTCCCCACCTTCTCTGTCTTTCTCCTCCCTTTCTACCTTCTCTAACTCCTTCAAGCTTCAGATCTGGAAGCTTTAGACCTCACCAACGCCGCCGGCGTCCGATCCTCTTCTGCCGCTTCCTCTGGAATTGAGCTTTGATTCAACAGGTTAATGAGAATCACCAGTCGAAGATGCTTGACAATCTCGTCAAGAACGTTGCCTTAATTCGGGAGATCAACAGTAATATATCCAAAGTCATATCTCTCTACTCTGATCTTTCCGTTGATTTCTCCAACATCGTTCAGCAATGATGCACGATCAACAATGACGACCACGTGGAGAAGAGTGCTGGTTGAGTTGTTTGGTTATACATATTTTTTTAAACACAGATTTGGGTTTTGAATATATATATATATATATATATTTGTGTGTATGAGTGTTGTTGAACACATGTATTCTTTTCATTGAGATTTGTGATTGTTGATCGAGTTTTAGAAGTTTTCTTTTCATTTAGATATGTTGATTTGTTGATTAATTTGTTTTGTTTTTGTTTGTTTGTTTTTTTTTAATTTTTTTTTATTGTTTTTGATCTAATTTCATTTGACAGAACTACTCTGGTTCTATTGCTCTGTTTTTTATTTCAGATAATGAGAGTAAAATTTTACTCTTATTCTATTGCTCTGTTTTTTGTTTGAGAGAATTAGAGTAAAATTTTACTCTGCTGTTAGAATGACAGTAAAATTTTACTATCAAGAGGTGGTTATTGCCAAACACTTCAGCCGCCACAAACACTGCCTTCGCTTTTTTACTTTTGTGCAAAGTAACATTTTAATTTTAGCTTCAGAATCTCACAGTTTACTTATTTTTCAGAGTAAAATTTTACTTTTATACAGAGTAAAATTTTACTTTTGTGTAGAGTCTAACATTTTACTAGTTTTTCATAGTAAAATTTTACTTTTATACAGAGTAAAATTTTACTTTTAGTTTCAGAGTGTAACTTTTTACTTTTATACAGAGTAAAATTTTACTCTGAAATACATAGTGAAGATGGCTTAATAGGAGAGCTGATAGATATGAGGGTAATATAATAAAAGAAACAAGTTTTAAAATATTAGGAATTTTAAAAGTACTTATATAATTCTTATCATTTTGAAAGACAAATTAGATAATGAGGAGGCATCACCAAATCCCCCAATTTTAACTTGCAAACCTAACTTAATCTCAATTAGAAATTCTTTATAATTATTAATATATGTACATATTATTTATTTATTTGATAAAAAAAAAATTAAGATTTAAAAGGGGCATTTTTTACTTTTCAGAGGAAGCACAGGACCATCATTCATCGCTTACAGTGGACTTGGATCTCTCTCAATCCAGTAAGTCTTGCATTTTCTCTGCATATTCTTCTTCTTAGTTGTATTGTATGATCAACTAATTGCCTTTTAATTACACATGTATAGTTGATTTAGCGCTCAATTGAATATGACAATCGATCTTATTCACACTAATCAGCTGTTGTTCAAGATAACTGTAAGACCTTGAAAACGAGCAGGGGAAAAGCTCTAGCTTATGCCCCGTTTGGTTGCCTGCAAATTAAATTTAAAAAGAGAAAACTGAACCTTACAACTAGACTCGAAAAATCTTGTAAAACTCCAAGAACCTCGAAACCCATGGTTGTTTCTGCTAATGTGGGTTGTGCTAGATGGGCTGATATACTTCATCTTTGTTTTTGCTTTTTTTGTTAAAAAAAAATATTTTTATGGTAGTGGCTGCTCTTAGACTTGAACATGCAATCTGAAACTCAATACCTCAAGCTTCTCGATATTATCAGTTATTTTTCTCTTGCTTCATTAGATGGAGCAGATTGAATCGAACTGGAAATGAGAGAAATCCAGTGTCATCTTGCCCATCCTCACTACTTGGATCAAGTTAGTTTTCTTCCAAGATTCAATCATCTCGAAGTTTGTGTACTATCTGTTTTAAGGAGCAATGCCCTATTTCATTTACAGATTGACACTTAACACTTTATCTCCTAAAACTCTAACACAAAAGTGGTGAATCCCATAATTTAGACCAATAATAACTACTTCATTTGAAGCACCACTTAGACTTGCTCAGGAGTATTGAATAATTTCTCTGTTTTTAGCTAGCTTGTGAGAAGGGGAAAAAACCCTTTTGGCCTCAACGAATTTTATCAATTTCAAATTGTGTTCTTAGAAAACTATGTTCCACCTGAACAGGAGTTTCGTGACTGTATTTGTTTAATCATGCACATTCCTAATGCACAAGAGAATGTAGGAGATCTTGTTTAATTTTATTTTGTTTCAAAATGCATCACCATGGGTGTTCAATGAGGTTTTAGTTTGGTTAGGTAGGGTGTTTTGCTTTTGATTTCATGTGGATTTTTATTGAGGGTGAATAATGTTGTGTTGCAGTGGATGAAAACCCATGTGTGAGCACCAGCGGGGAAATGATAGAGAGTTCTAATGGAAAAGAGTTAGCTACAAACAAAGGAAATTCAGATGTGGAACCATATGTGGGTATGGAATTTGAATCTGAGGAGGCTGCCAAAGTGTTCTACGATGCATATGCAACATGCTTCGGCTTCATCATGCGAGTGGATGCATTTCGGCGATCAATGCGTGATGGGAAGGTTGTTTGGCGTCGACTTGTGTGTAACAAAGAAGGTTTTCGTAAACTCAGACCGCGGAGAAATGAAAGCAGGAAACCTAGGGCAATCACCAGGGAGGGTTGTAAGGCAATGATTGTTGTAAAGAAAGAGAAGACAGGAAAATGGGTTGTTACAAGATTCGTTAAGGAGCACAATCATCCACTGGTTGTAGCACTGGCCAACAGTCATCGCAGTGTGATCCTGTCGCAAACACTAGTAAGGGTTATTACTTGAATGGAAAATTTGAAAATGATTATTCTGTGATTGTCCAATTTACATGTCAATTTTCAAGCCTATTGCTTATGGTTCTTTACCACAAATAGGTTTACTCAGGCATAACTTGGCTTTTGGCTGTACTTAAGATATAGCATGTGAAAAGTTGTATGTCCCTTTGCCCAAAACCTGAAGTTTGCTACAGGCTTTTTTGACTGCTAAAGGCTGATATGGATACAAGTAGAGAATCAAGTTTATAAGATAAAATTCCTACAGCTGTCTCTGCTTGCTACTGTTGCTGTTCCTCATACATCTACTTGTTGGTGTATGCTTGCATTCCTCCTTGTTTTTGCATTCTTCATCTTCTTTTCAATCTTTCAGCATATCTTTTGGTGCTTTACAGGACGATAAAGATGTAAAAATTCGGGAATTGACAGCTGAATTACAGCGGGAGCGAAAGAGATCTGCTGCTATCCAAGAACAGCTTGATATGGTTTTGAAAGACATGGAGGAGCACTCCAATCACCTGTCAAGAAACATTGATGACATAATTCAAAGTGTGAGAGAAATTGAATCGAAGAGAGTAGTCCGTTCGCACAGCTGATGATGGTTTCATTGGTTGTTCACTTTCACTTTGTACACGTTTTTTCGTAGGCAATATTTGTTTTCCGAACTGTAAATTATACTGTAAGTTGAGATGAATTTCCCTGTACTTGTTGTAAAAAGTACATAACCAACTGAGGTATGGTCTAATATTTTCAATTTTGATCTGTCTTCCAGTACAAGGACCCAACAGATCCAAACGATAAACCGAGTCAGAAGCATTGTTTATGCAGTATAACCTAACCCCATTACAACCCTGAGTGTGTTTGGACAGGTTGGGTCGGTTTACAAATGCATACTCTTGGATACATCAATAATTTTGGGTTAAACTTGTCAGCCCCATTCTTTTGAAGCCACTTTCAAGGTTTATTAATGGAAATCAATTTGTCGAGGGCCTTGCTAACAAGCCTTCTTAAGGCAAAAGAAAAGGACAAAATGACAAAAAAATATGTAGATTTTGACACATTTATTACTGAATTTAATGCATTTTTTTTTTATGAATTTAGAAACACTTCAAAATCTTTTTACATTTTTTTTTTTGGCATTTCCGATATTAAAATGAATAATTTCCTACATGGTTATGTACAGTTTGTATTCCAAGAACTGTTAGAGAATGAGAGAAGGAACACCATAAAAAGAACCCCCAACTTCAATAAAAAACATACACACACAATTACACAAACATCTATATAACAAAGCACTCAGGACACAATGTTTCAAAAACTACTTTGGACAATTACATAAACATCTATACAACAAAGCACCCAGGACACTACTTTTCAAAAACAACTTTCAACATGTCTCACACATGGACTATTGAACTCAACTTGATATGAATCCCAATTAGAATGAAACCACACATTTTATTTTCTAACAATTTTTCGATCTGCTCTGCCTCTACCCTCCAACACACATTTTATTTTGGGTCAACTTTTTGCTCTACCTCTACTCTAACAAGGGAGACAGAGGTGTACAAAGGGGGCAACATGAGAAATAGCAAGAAGAGGAGCGCAACAGAAATAATAGAAACCACCGACACAGATGCGGTGAGAGACTTGGCACCGTGGCACGACATTTTCCCCAACCGAATTTGAATCATATCGACTATGGAAAGCATCAAGAAAAAATAAACCAAAAACGACGTCAACTGTCACGCCCCAAACCTGCCCCTAAAAGTTTCGGGCATGACTTATTCAGAAACGGACACTTAACCTGATATACGTAATATATGGGGCTTGAACGGAAACATTAATAATATAAAATAACATAAAACATCATCCATTGAGCTACCACTACCATGCCAGGACCGCAAACATTGCGTTAGGTAGATACTATACAGGAAACATACACTCGAGCCTCAGTTACAGTCAGTCACATTCATACAAAAAGTATTAAAGAAGAAGGGGTTATATACATTCAACCATAGGTAGACAATCAAAGCATGAGCCAAAAACCTAGTAAAACTTTACAAATGCACAGGTTTCATCTTAAGTGCCTGGACACATTGAGATTGACAAGAGAGAGACAAGCCTTGAGGGTTAGGATTGGCCTCCCGGTTGATTACCTACAGAAATAGACAAAATACAGAGTGAGTAAAACTCAGTGAATAATAACACATAAATAATGTAAGGGTTAACTTAAATAACAAAGCATATAATTGTAGAGGCATATTGATTAATTACATTCTGTAATCATTTCTAGAACGGCCATGGGCCCAATTTCCTTAACAGAGTGGCTTTAAGCCCAGTGATATACAGAACGGCCTTAGGCCTAACAGATACAAAACGGCCATCGGCCCAAAAATGACAGAACGGCCTATCGGCCCAGAAATAACAAAATGGCCTATTGGCCTAGAAATAGCAGAACGGCCATCGGCCCAGAAATAACAGAATGGCCATCGGCCCAGAAATAACATATGTATGGATTCAAGAGGTGGCTCATACGGATTCTAGAGGTGACTCGTATTGCAGCACTTAGTTCCGTACAACACTTTGTTCCATACCAGAAACAATAGGTCTTAAAGACCGAACAATTCATATCATGTCATATCATAACGAAGCGAATAAACAGAACGGAATATATAAACAGAACAAATAAACAGAACAGGATAACCCCAAATTCATAAGAATATCGTCACACTATAGTGTACATAATTCACCTCATGGTTTATTACAAGTTGACATGGTTGTCTTGCAGATAACGGAATATTGATAATAACTATTAACAGAAGGCGGATATGTCACTGTATTAATAGGGACATAACAATTCACATCATAGTGTGGGTCACATATCAATGTTATTGACGTTCAATTCTTTCCTCGGATTGAGACATACATAGGTTAATCTGATAATGAGCATAATTTCTCAACGGTTACAACAATCACTATCGTATAAAGCAACTCGTAGGTCTATCTGATTATTCCTTCCAATGGTCCATTCAAACATCATGTTCCTGATAATCGGAGGTTACTTTCACGAATTTTTTCGGTTAACCCATTCCATTGTTTCATAGCTTGTATACGGAATCATAGGTAATTTATAGGTTATAGCACACTATCGATAACCATCAACCGCAGTCAGAATACAGAATAGTTCTAGGTTCACATTGACGTATGCCAAATCTTTCAATGTTCCCACTAATTCCCAATCAACATATATGTTAACATAGTTGCCCACAAAGATCAGAATGTTAATACCAATAATTATTAACGGTACTAGATGTACATTTATAGCACTATTACTCACCGTGACAGATTTTGGTAGTAGTGGGACGATATCCTCGTCTTGACCTACAAACACAATGCACATAGTATCATAAGATTATACCCGATTCCTTATTTTACTCTTAATCAATTAGTCATATCGGTTCTAAACTCCTTAGTCCTTAGTAAGTTATAATCCATGCCTCAGAAAAAACAAGGAATCAATAGGAGAAGGGTTCAGACGAAGAAACGGTACAAACTTAGTAAACAGAAAGTGAACAGTTGTCACTAATTTTAGCATAACTATTTCTGTATTTAGAATTTGGGAGTGAGACCACTTTCATTGGAAACTAGACTTCCGGGGCTTGATTTTAGGCTCAAGAATCACTCAAAACGGAGTCCGGATATAAAAGATATGCTTGTTCAAAGTTACAAGGTAAAAGCTGAAACAGAGTTAGCCGCTCGTGTGCCCACTTTGGCCGCTCGTGCGGCCCAATTCCGCTCCACCGGAAGAACCCGGCTGCTCAAGCGCCCAAAAGAAGAATCAAAACCTCTTTTTTTCCCCATGCTCCGCTCGTGCGGTGACCGTGGCCGCTCGTGCGGCCTAGGCAAAAACAAACAATCCAAAAATGGATTTTTTCTTGCTCCAACACTAGGTTCTTTCATTTTCCAAAGCTTGTTTTCAACTTAAATCATTCAAAAACATGTAAAACTAATGAAATACATGGGATTATGATTGTTTTCTAAATTAAAACATCAAAGTTACAATGAATCTTCAAGTAGGGAAATCAATCTCTTCATTTCTTTCTTTCCCAAGACTTCCTTCGTATTCACATATATCTTCAATTATATATATAATTAACCACAAGATGAGCAAATATAACAACTTTACTCTTCAATCAAGCAACTCTAATTTATTTCCATATAAAATCTTCCATTTAATCCTTGATTCTTTATGGTAGATGAGTTATCCACAAGGATGAAATCAAAGTCACATACCTTAACCCAAATCCATGTTTTTTCCCAAATTTCCATGGTCAATCTCCTTCCTCTTCTTCAAGCTTCCATGAGTGGTGAGCTCTCTCCCTCCTTTGCCCTCTCTTCTCCCGGTTCTCTCTCTCCCCCAGATATTTTGTTGGCTCTAAAAATGATAAGTTCCAACTCACTTAACATACACACACACACACATATATATATATAACAAACACATAAGCTTTTCACAATAGGGAGGCCAAACAGGCCCTTACGAATCGCGTAAAATTAAATTTCAATTAAACTTTCTAGATGACTCTAAAAATTATGCTGATCTGAAATATGTCATCTGTTCTGGGTTCTGAAGCTTCTAAGGCCCTCAATTTATAGTATAAAGTTAATCATCGAAACGCACATTAACGAATTAGACAAATTAGATTTCCAATTAATTTTCCCAAGTAGTTCTAAAAATTCCCATTAACATACCCAAATATTCAATTTTGATTTCTGGATCCGTAAATGTCGGTAATTCAATTTTTAAGCCGTGACTCAACAAATAATTTCCTCAATTGAACAGATATTATTAAATTAAAATGCATTAACCCACAAGGACATGAAAGTAATTTTGGATACGAATTTTGAGGTCGTTACATCAACCCTGCTACAAACACCATCCTTTCCCTCTGATGTTTCACACACAAAAACCGCATTTCCAAAGATCCTCCTCTACTGCGGGACATATTGAGATGAAGCTTGATTGCCATGGCAACCAGAGTCGATGAAAGGAAGCAACTGAAGGACAAAACCTCGAACACGATGAGCCTCTTGGCGACTCTGATTCCTACATTGCACTCTGCCCGATTGGCGAGGCCGTGCGGCCTGGTGGTAGCAAGTGCTAGTCCGAGGAACACTGCTAATTAAGGTGAATAGTTTGTTGACATTGACGAGGTCGTCCACTGCCTTGTTGGAAACATCTGGGCTCCCGGTTCTCTCTCTCCCCCAGATATTTTGTTGGCTCTAAAAATGATAAGTTCCAACTCACTTAACATACACACACACACACATATATATATATAACAAACACATAAGCTTTTCACAATAGGGAGGCCAAACAGGCCCTTACGAATCGCGTAAAATTAAATTTCAATTAAACTTTCTAGATGACTCTAAAAATTATGCTGATCTGAAATATGTCATCTGTTCTGGGTTCTGAAGCTTCTAAGGCCCTCAATTTATAGTATAAAGTTAATCATCCAAACGCACATTAACGAATTAGACAAATTAGATTTCCAATTAATTTTTCCAAGTAGTTCTAAAAATTCCCATTAACATACCCAAATATTCAATTTTGATTTCTGGATCCGTAAAGGTCGGTAATTCAATTTTTAAGCCGTGACTCAACAGATAATTTCCTCAATTGAACAGATATTATTAAATTAAAATGCATTAACCCACAAGGACATGAAAGTAATTTTGGATACGAAC